AGAATAAAAAAATTATCATCTCAATAGAAGCAGAACGAGCGCTGACAAAATCTGACCCCTCTTCTTGTTAAAATATTCAACAAACTAATAGAAGGAAACCTTTTTAACCTGATAAAGGGTATCTACTAAAAAAACACACTAAACATCATCCCTGATGCTGGGTGCCTTCCCTCTAAGGTCAGAAATGAAACAAAGATGCCTACTCTTGCTACTTCTATTTACCATTCTATTGGAAGTTTTAGCCAGGTCAGTTAAGCTGAGAAAATGAAATAAAGGGCATGCAGATTATGTAAGAAGTAAAGCTTCCTCTGTTTGCTGGTGGCATGATCTTGTATACAGAAAATTTTACCTCATACCCAAAGTATGAGAGCAAATCAACAAGTTAGCAAGGTTGTAGGGTACAAGATTTGTATATAAAATTCAGTTGTATTTCTGTGTACTAGCAATGAACAATCCAAAAATGAAATTGAGGAAAGTTTCATTTACAATAGCCATCAAAAACAATAAAATAATTAAAACCAATCTAACCAAGGAAGTATGAGATTTATACATAGAAAACTACAAAATATTGTTGAAAGAAATTAAAGACTTAAATGAATGAAAAGATCCTATGTTCATGGATTAGAGGATGTGTTAAGATGACAGTGTTTCCCAAGTGGATCTACAGATTGAGTGTAATCTGTAACAAAACTCCAGCTTCTTGGCAGAAATTGACAAACTGATCCTAAAGTTCATGTGGAAATTCAAGGGATCCAGAATATCTGAAAGAATCTTGAAAAAGAGCAAAGTTGGAAGACCAACTTTCCAGTTTCAAAAATGACAAAGCTAGTGATGGAGACTGTGTGGTCCTACCATAAGAACAGACATAAAGATCAATGGAATAAATTGAAAGTCCAGAAATAACCCTCACTTTTTTTTGGTCAGTTGATTTCCCCCCCCCCCCGTTGTTGTTTTTAATTTGCCACAGGGTGTATTTATTGCAAGGGAAAGACAAAAAGAAAGAGAGTACCCTCACAGTCAAGCATGGTCACACTGCAATCCCTTCTCGATTTCTCCATTCTGTCAGGATTTGGGGAACTCATGTGCACATGCTTGGTGTGTTTTTCAAGCTGCCAAGGCCTGGATTCAAATCATTCAGTTGACCATGTGGGATCCGGTTCCTTTAACCACTAGACTACAGTGCCAGTCCTGGCTAATCAGTTTTTGACCAGAGTGCCAAGACCATTCAGTGGGTAAAGGACAGTCTCGATGCAAGGTGTTGTAATAATGAGATATCAAAATGCAAAGAGTGAACTTAGATTCTTCCTCCTAACATGCAGAGAAATTAAAATGTATCAGTACTAAATATAGGTGCTAAAACTGTAAAACTTGAATGGTAGGAACAAATCTTCATGTCTTTGGGTTAGGCAAGGCTTTCTTAGATGGGACCAAAAGCACAAGGAACGGAAGAAAAATAGATAAACTGGACTTCATCAGAATTTTAAACTTTTGTGCTTCAAAGGACACCATCAAGAAAGTGAAAAAACAATTCACAGAATGGAAAAAAATTTTTGCAGATCACAGACTTGATAAGGGATTGGTATCTAGGGTAAATAAAAAACGTTTACAACTCAGTAATAAAAAGACAACCCAGTTGAAACATGGACAAAGGATTCAAATCAGCATTTCCCCTAAGAAGATGTATAAATGGCCAACGATTACATAAAACGTTGCTCAATGTCACTAGTCATCAGAGAAACATAATCAAACCCACAATGAGCTAGTCCTGCATACCCACTAGGATGGCTACAATAAAAATGACAGGTAAGTGTTGAAAGCAGTGTGGAGTAATAAAACCCTATATACTGCCAAAATGGTAGATCTACTTTGGAAAACAGTGTGGCAGCTCCTCAGAAGGTTAAGCACAGAACTGCCATATGACCTAGCTTCTCCACTGCTAGCTACACATCAAAGGGAAATGAAAACATGTCCACACAAAAGCCTGGACACAAATGTTCATAATGACGTGATTCATAATAGCCAAAACTTAGAAACAACATAATATTTGTCAACTGGTAAACAGATACATAAAATATGGTATATCAGACGACAGAATGTTGTTTGGCAACCAAAAGGAATTAAGTATGGTAGTGTACTATGGTATGTGTGAACCTCAGAAACATGCTCAGTGAAAGAAGCCCGTCACAAAAGATCACATAGTACGTGATTCCATTCACGTGAGTCAAAACCTGGCTTGTTTCTGAAGGCTTTTTCCTTTCAAAACCAAAGCAGGCAAATCTCGAGAGACAGAAGTTGGCTCTCTATTTTTTCAGTGGTCTCCAAGGGCAATAGGTGGGTGTGGGAGGGAGGAGGCATGACTACCAATGACCACAGAGTGATGAGAATGTTCTCGAACTGAGTATTGAGATGACCACACAGCTCAGTTAACTAAAACCTCTGAACTGTGGACTTTAAATGAGTAAATAATATGGGCTGTGCATTATGTCTCAATAGTGCTGTTATATAATTTTAGAACCCATAGTCCTCTCTGTGATCACACATCCAATCAGTATTCAGATCTCCTGATTATCTCATAGGGTTTTGCATTTTGTTTAAGCAGGACCCAGACAAGGTCTGCCCTGTGCGTTTGGTTAATATGTCTTCAAGCCTCATTTAAGTTGCAGGACTCCACATTTGTTGGCTGTTTTCCTCCTTTGAATTGGTTTTGTGGAGAAAATGAGTCCTTCATCTTGTAGAGTTGCCCACATTTGGAGTTTTGCCAGCCACGTCCCTGGAGGGTGTTTAACGTGTTCTGCTGTCCCCTGTGTTTCCTGTAAACTAGAAACCTTGATCGGATCCAGATTTTATTTTTCCAATTATGTTTTGTTTAAAATGAATCACAATTAAGAAATATGAGATGGAGAGTACTTAGTTCTTTCAAATATGCCTCAAGTCCGAGGATGCTAATGAAGCATGCCTATACTTCTACCTCCTACTGGTGAACAGCTATGGGAGTTTATTCTTTTGCTTTGTTTTTGAGCTCTAGATTACTTAGATTTAGGATATCTATTCTGGGCCCTAAGCTAGGACCAGTTTTAGAGGTTTTGCCAAATTTAATGCCTTTTGGTTCCATATTAGTAGGGGTTAGCGTCAGCAGCAAGCAAGAGGAAAACCACAAGCTGTGGCTAAAATGAGATGGAAATGTATTTTCTATTATGTCGAAGAAATCTAGAGGTCCCCAGCCCAGGGTGGAGGGATCTCTGTGTCAGGGACCCAGGCTCTTCCTATCTTCCTGCTCTAGCCCGCTGCATGGTTTTCATGCTCAAGCTATCTATCCCAAGCAATTAGAACAGTGCCTAGCCCATGCTAGATACTTAATCATTAATTGTTGAACAAATGTTGAATGAATGAACGGCTGGCCTCGAGGGCTGCTACAGCTCTAGCCGTTACATCTGGATTATAGCCAGAATGAAGGAGGGTGAGGAAAGGGAAGGCAGGCCCCCACCTTTTTGCTACTTCCTAGATGTTTCTCACATCATTCTTCTTAGCTGACCACACTAAGCTGCCAAAGTGTTAACAAGACAGGCTTTGCCTTGAGCACCTATGTTCCTGGTTGCAAAGTGGGGGCTCTGTTGACCTGTAAGGAGGGTTTGGCTAACACCGGCACGGTGCATAGTGCCATGTGCCTGAGTGCTGGGTAGCAGGAGACAATGGCACTGCCGTCTGTCTGAATAGTAGGAGCTATACCAGCCAGATCATCACCCCAAGCCTGCGTGCTTTGCCTGGGTCCCATGGCACCAGGCTCTTCTGAACACAAAATGCTTAATATTTAAAAGGCACATTGCCATATTGTCAAATAATATGCCCAACAGCTTTTTACTAACCTTCAGATACCTTGTTGGGGAGATGCTTCTAATGGAAAGGAGTGGATCCATCCATTAATCTGAGTAGAGTTTATTAAATGTGCTGATTTCCTGTGTTTCTGGACTTTTGGGGTACCCCATAGATCTTCAGTGGTGGGTCTTATTAGTATCTTCCAAGCCTGGTGGGTTTTTCCCTCAAACTGATCCAGAACTAGTGCCAGAAATCTAAATTGCCCAGGCTTCTCCAAGTCTTAGAAAAAGTCTTTTGCTATGGTTTAGTCTGGAGTGAATAAATAACTTCTCTTTGAGTATAGAATAATTCCTTATTTTAGAGTTAATTTCATGTAGACTGCTTCGTAATGAAAATACAATGTACAATGGCGTTTTAGCTGAGAATTTCAATAATTATTTTGACACCACTATTTATCTTTAGAGGGGTTTCCATGTACACAGAGCCCTTTAGAAATACTGACCAGGAAGCGGTGCCGTTACGTTAGTGCCCAGGAAACTGCCTTCGTTTCCTGTCTACATGGTTACGGGGGATAACCTTTGGAACGATTCCGTTTCGGAGCCAACCAGCACATCATTCCACGCTCCCTGGCTCCTGATGGAGGGTGTGACTTCTATGGTGTTGAGCAAACTACACTGTCCCTCTGTGCAGAGGGTGTCTTCCCCCTTCCAGTCTGATGGGCTGACCCAGGAAGGGCCTCGGTTCCTCTCTTATTAAAGAAAATCAAAACCTGGCTTGTTTCTAACAGCTTTTTAATTTCAAAACCAAAAAAAAAAGGCAAAGCCAGTAAGGAAAGTTAAATTGCCTTAGTCAGCATTTGTATAATTCTTTTGCACCTGGGCTTGGCTTCTTCCTCAAGAAAGGATTTGATTTTCATATTCTATGGGGGTGTCAGAAAAGTCATGATGCATTTTTGCATAGAAAAACAGAAAACTACGTCATAGCTTTTCCAAGGACTCAATATTACCTGAGGGTCTGCAGCCTTGAGATTAAACTGATGAACCCTTTGTTTCATTTTAATAATTTTTCCTACTTTCTCTCAATAGCTTTTTCTTGAAGATATACAAAGTATCCTTGCTACAGGAAAGTTAGATTCCATTTCAGGCTATCGATATAGTAATGGTTCTAATTAAATTTTTTTCTCCCAGCATTCAAAAGGCTATGAGAATGGTACAAACAGATTTAGACTCCAGAAGCAAATCTTAAACAGCGAAAAAAACCGGCCTCTGGTAAGTTGCATGTGACTCCACTTAACTATAGGATGTCAGCACTGCAGGAAACTCCTCAGAGCCACATGGGCATCTGACCCTCTGTCTCAGTGGCACACGTCCCAAACATCCAGAGTCTTAAACAAATTGAGTCCCATCGTATTTCTTCAGTTAACTTTGGGTTTGCTCTATCTGGCTTCCTTTGGATAGGAAACACACTTGCCAAAAGCAGTTCATGCATTCAACACTTATGTGGCAGCATTCAGCTTCAGGCGTTGTTCCAGGTCTGGAGAATCTATCAGAGGGCACTGATGCCAGGAAGACGGGATGAGTGGGTGCTGATTCGAGCCTGGGGGCAGACCTGAGAAAGAAGTGGGTGAGAGTGGCAGGTGCCCAGGGAAGAAGCACATCAGGATGATAAAGCGCACACTGGCTAGCATACAAGGGCACACAGAGAATTTATGAAATGGGATCAAGAAAAGAGAAGGGAGCAGATAACAGCATCAGCCTCCACCCACCACCATTTTACAGATGAGAAGATCAAGGCACAGAAGTGCTACGGGCTCTGTCTTGTCACCCACAGTAGTGGGGAGGCCACAGTGTAACCCAGCAGTATCCCCCAGCCCCTGGCCTGTACCCTACCCTTCCCTTTCAGTTACTTCTAGAAGTTTCCCTCATCACTTCTGCTTAGCTGACCACGCCGAGCTGCAAGGGGCATTTTAGAATCTGTCTTAGTCATTGAAATTATAGCCATTTTTTTCTTTTTAAATCAGATAACTTAAAAGGATAATTATACTTGTGACTCCTTTTTACTTGGGGAAATTTGTTTGTGGTGATTGAAATATTGGAAGAGACAAAAATGATGAATGCATTCCGGTCCTTAGATTTTTGGGTATAGGTAATGATTAATTCAACTAAAACACTTTAAACTCTCTACTCACTACTGAGTTTACTTTTTTTTTTTTTAAATCATGTCTTAATCAGTGTCCAAATGGCAACAATTCCTCTCTGGTGGTATTGAAGTCTCACCTTTTGCTCTCAGTTAGTCCTGCAGGCCCTTCATTGTGGTGTAGGTCCTGACCCGTTCAGCTAGCCCTGGTTTCTGGGTACGGCGTCCCTCTCTCTTTTCCATCTCTGCTATGAAAATCTATTTACTAAATGCTAGCAAAAAGCCATTGCATATTCAGGCCCCACAGTCTTGTTTTAGGGTGACTGTGATGTGGACATGGCCAGGCAGGCGCTGGCCCTCCTCGCTTGGTGTCCTTTGCCCTTGCTGTTGGGTCAGAGGCAGGGGCTCCCTTTCCCAGAGTGACTCCATTGAGATCCACTGGGGTCTGAGTGGGGTGTCACCCATCGGGGACCTCCACCACTTTTCAGACACATCGTGAAGTCCCATTATGTGCCAGGCATGATTGTTAGTGTCTTCATGAAGAGCCTCGTAGAGAAAGCACGGAGGAAGCAAATAGGAGAAAGGCTCTGGCAGCACACGGCGGACCTCTTCAGGTCTTTGTGGGATTTCAGTAATTGTCTTGGTCATTATTTGCCATCTCAGTGGTCTCTTGTCCTCCATGTTGAGGAGCCCAACGCCTGGGGCAGGACACAGCCCAGGCATTGGGCTCCTCAAAGCACCCCAGGTGATCCCCATGTCTCACCACTGATTTTCTCTCTTAAATTTGACAGCTAGCTCAATTCATAAGAGAAAAGGTTATTGCCAAACTCAAGTCATAGTTCTCTGTTTTCATTTACCATTGTGGAATTGTGCTGGGAAGAGGTTAGGCTGTCACACTTGGGGTTTGTCATCTTTGTTTCAGGATATCAGAACATTAAGATTAAATGTAAATTCATCAAAGACCAACTCTCAAAGCGGGAGTCCTGTCCAGGAAGCTGGGCTGTTGGGTGACATGGGTCCTGGGCTGCCCCAAGGTCACCCTCAGGCTCAGCACCCAGACTGGATGTAGTTGCAGCACCCTGCATCCCATTTTCTGAGTTTGTTTTGCACTTGCAGAGAATTATAAACATTAAGGGGACAGATGTGGAATGCTTTGCCTTTTTTTTCTTTTTTTTTAAATTTTTTATTGTGGAGCCAGCAGGTGGCATGGTAGTTAAGGCACTAGACTCTCACATGGTTGACTGCAGTTCGAGTCCCAGACCTGGCAGCTTGCTTTCTCACTTTCTTTCTCTCTGTCTCTCTCTAGGAAGCACATGTGACCTATAGCAAATTTAGTAATAATAGTAATAAATAAAATTTAATAAATAATTCTTTTTTTAAAAAGTTTCCCATATGTTTAACTTATATAGGTCTAAGTGAGGCATTGTGAACTAAAAATTACATGATTATGTGAAGATTTATTGACATTTCCATAAAAATTACACATAATTCCACCACTCAGTGATAACCACTTTAGATTTCAACTTCTTTCTTTCTAGAAACAGATTATATAGTTAACTAGTCACAGAGGTAGGTATTTAAACATTCTTCAAGATCATATGAAAATACAATTTACTTTTTTTTAATTTTTGCCAGAGGTGTGTGTGCTCACCAGAGAGAGACAGAGAGACTGAGAGAAGGAAGGAAAAGAGAAAGCACCCCTATGGGGTGTAGTCATGCCACAGTTCCTCCTCCTCTCTGTTCTATCAGATATGAGGCATGCATGCACATGTACCCTGTGTGTTTTTCAAGCCACCAGGGTCAGGATTCGAACTTTGGTTGGCCATGTGTTATCTGGCTCTGTTAATATATTGTAAGCATTTTCCTATATTATTAAAAACTTTTTGCCAAAGGGCATATGTGCTTGTTGGAGAGAGAGGGGGGAAATGAGAAAGCACCCCCAATGGGGCATGGTCATCACACAACAATCCCTTCTTCATTTCTCCTTTTGAGATTTTGGATATGCATGTGCATGAGCCAAACATTTTTCTTTTCTTTTTTCTTTTTCTTTCTTTCTTAGAGAGAGAGAGATTTTTGCTATCGGTACATGCACTTGCTGGAGAGACAGAGAAACAGAAAGTGAGAAATCACCCCGCAGGGAGGATGGCCACACCACAATCCCTTCTCCTTTTTCCCCTTAGAATTTTGGACCTGTATTCACTCAGCATGAGTTTTAAGCCTCCGGGTCCAGGACTCAAAACATGGACAGCCATGTAGGAGTTCGGCAATGTAGCCATTATGCCCTCTTCTGGTCCCACCAAATACATTTTCAAGCTACTGGGTCTGGGTCTGGGACTTGGACACTGCACTCTGGGCCTTATGGGATTCAGCTGCCTTAACCACCAACCACAGGCTGGCCCTAAAAGGTTTTTTGTTGCTGTTGTTTTCTTTAACAACTGCAAGATATATCTTTTGTATGGATGTATGTACTTTGATTTACCAGATTTTCTCGATGATATGGCATTCATTTTGTTATACAAGTATTTGTTGACTTTTCAAAATTATTTTTTGCAAATAGATTCCTACACTCTCTACATCAAAGGATTTGTGTGTTAAGAGTGTTTCATAAAAACACGTGAATGTTGGTGATCATAGAGCAGTGACTATGGTGAGAAGTGATCCGAGGTGTCCTTGAGACTTGCAATAGAAAACAGAATCATCAGGCGACGTTAGACTAAGTTGATCAGCTGGTAACACTTTTTCTTTCTTCTTTTCAATGGAACGTACCTCCAGGACCCAGAGATGCAGTGCTTACTGCTGTCTGATGGGAAGGGGTCCATCCACCCCAATCATGTGGTCATCCTCCCTGGCGACAGTGGGGGTGGCATGGCTGCCATCAGTTTCATCGGGGCCTTGAAGATTCCCGTAAGTAAATGGTTGAGAGAGATTCAAAAGACTCCTTTTGACTCCTTTTGTGCTTACTATGAGTTGAAGTCTGGTTTGTTGATAATTAAGTTTATAAAAGAAATTTATGGAGGACAGCAGGTAGCATGGTAGTTAAGGTACTAGACTTCCACATGACCAATCATGATTCGAGTTCTGGACCTGGTGTCTGGAAAATCACACCAGGAACATATGTGTGGATACCTAAAATTCCAGGAGAATGGAAGAAAGGGAATTGTGATGTGACCATCCCCTCTTGGGGGTGGGGGGGACACGTGATTTCTCACTTTCTCTGTCACTGTCTCTCTGTTTCTCTCCAGTGAGTGCACACCCCTATGATAAAAACCTTAGAGAGAGAAAGAGAGAAAGAAAAAGAAATGATTATGGGATCCATAAATTAGAAATCGATAGCTTAAACCAGAAGCTGCACAGTGGTAGCTTCAGGACAGCATGTGACTGCAGTGACATTCGTTTGCCTCACACTATGTTTAAATGTTTTTCAAATTTGCTTTTGTTTTTAATTGGCACTCACAGGGTGCGGGGTAGAGGCACCCCACCATTGGGTTGTGGTCCCACCATATTCCCTTCTCCATTTCTTTATCCTGTCAAGTTTTAGGCACTCATGCACATTGTCCAATATGTTTTTCAAGCCACCAGGCCTGGGATTCTAACTGGTTTGGGCCATGTGGGATCTGGCTTCCTTAACCTTTATGCTATGGGGCTAGCCTTATTTTTTTTTTTTAATATAAAGTTGATTTTTTTTATTCCATGAGAGAAAAGGAGAGAGAGAGAACCCCAACAGGGTTTTCATGCCACAGTCCACCCGCAGTCTCCGCTGGTCTTGATCATGTACTCAGGGTGGCCCTGGGGTGCAAACTAGGACATTTCCCGTGTGGGTCCAGTTGCGTACCACTGCACCACCACCTGGCCCCTGAAATTCATTTTCCCTATTTGAAATTCAGAAATTTCAGACCAGTAGGGCTTCCTGCACTTACTGGGCCTGCAACCCATGTGACAACGTTTGGGGAGCTGAGGCCATGCCCTGTCTCCCCTGTGGCTCCTGCACCTCCCTGTTCTGTGCTGTGGCCTCAGGTGAGTCCAGTCTTGTTTTCTGTTTTATTTTGTTTTGTTTTTCCCTTTAAAGTGCCGTCACTGACTCAAACCATGGCATGATTTCCCTATGTGTTGTAAACACGGAGCATGGGGAGCAGGGGAGGGGAGCACAGGCCCTAAGGCGGGAACAGAGAGCAGCAGGGAGAAGCCCCAGGGTTGGCAGAGTCTGGACTCAGGCTTATTTGAAAACCCATGTGGTAGTCCGTGGTGGGGCAGCTGACCCTGATGCTAGACAGAAAAAGCATGCCCAGAGCCCTGGTGGTCAGGATTTGGGAACACATGCAGGAAAGGCGATTTGAAACAGGGGCGGAGGTAGCACTGTGCTGAGCCGTCCTGCTGCTTAGACTTTTCTTTCATTAAATTCCCAGGCTCCCTCAGCAGACTCAGGGGGGCTCCGCCCAAGATGTGGAAAAGCTATGCTTTACTGACCTGGTGATTGTAGAAGGCAAGGAAGGCTGGGAGCCAGGGCAGATGTGAGCAGGGGAGAGAGACCCTGCCGTGTGGTGGCTATGCCCAGCCCTGGATGCTATAAGAGCCAAGAGAGTCAGACGGGCTGTTAGATGCAGATGAGCTGGTGAAAGGCAGGGGCACAGGCCTGAGGTCCCCTACCACGTGAGACTCTAGGGCAACTGAGGAGAGCTGCTTCAGATCAAGAAGGAGCTGGGTCTGTGGGTGGTGCATAATCCTGGAGCCAGCCTCTAGCCAGAGGAGAATGCTGGATCCCAGCCTGGGCCCCAGGTCTCTGGGAAAGGTCTCTGGGCTAGCCTGTGGAAGACGCAGTTTTCAAACAAAAGTTATTTTTAAAATTACATTCTTAACACTCAGTACCCTTTCTGCTCTAGCTCACTGTGTAGGTGCTCCAAATCCTTTTGCTAAAAGTAGGGTGTGTGTTAGTTACATAAATACACGCGGTGGTAGAGTTATAGGCAGTGTAGGCTTCAGACACCCGGCCTGGCTTGGCCTCACCCTGCCTGCTAAGCTGGCACCCAGGCACATGTGGACCCCTGGGCCTCCAGTTCGTCTGCCTCAGGGGCTGTGCCTGGTGTACCGATCTAGTTGCTCTGAGGATGAATCAAGGCCACTGAATTCCAGCACTAAGCTTGATGCTGGCATGATGTAAGGGTGTGATGAATTGTATGCAGATGTCCTCATGCAGATATATTGGTTGGGTAAATACTTTACTCTTTTTTGTTTTGTTTCGTTTAGGTTTTTGCCGTAGGGCACGTGTGCTGCTGGAGAGATACAGAGAGAGGGAAAATGAGAAATCACACACACACACACACCCATGGGGGATGGCCACACCACAATCCCTTCTCCTCCATTCTCCTCTCAAGATTTTGGGCATATGTGCACACGTATCCAATGTGATTTTCACGCTGCCAGGTCCAAGACTCAAACCGTGGTCAACCATGTGCGAGCACAGTGCATTAACCACCATGCCACCTGTGGACCTCTCTAACTCATTTCATTTTCATTTTTTTTTCCCGTTTTTGTTACAGGGTATGTGTGCTCTCCTGAGAGAGACACGGGGTATTGGGGGCAGTGAGAAGGCACCCCCCCCCACCCAGGGAGAGAATGGCCACACCTCAATTCCTTCTCCTTCATTCTCCTTTTGGGATTTTAGGCATACATGCATTTTCACCTGCCATGTTTTTTTTTGGTGGGGGGAGAGATTTTCACTGTAGGG